TTACTATAATAATACTGGTACCTCAAATGTAAAGACTCTCAAAACAATTCATTCCTGTGCCCAAAACTAAATAAATCAATGAATGCTACTTTTTAAAAAAATTTTTTATCTGTGAATGGCATAGCCTTTAATTCAGTTACTTGGGATTGAAAATCATTCTTTATCATTCTTTAACATCATCAATCCTATTGAGTCCATCTTCAAATTTTGCTCATATCTATCCCACATGTTAATATTTTAGTTCTGACTTTTTTGCCAATTTGCTTATGATTGGATTGGCCGCCCACCTTCCCTCTTATAGCCTCTCTCCTTTTATCAACCTCATGTTAACATCACATTAAGTAATTAATTTAAGGTACAGCCCTAAATACCACCTCATTTTTCCAAAACAAATATTTTAAGTGGCTTTCCAAGTCTTGTTGAATTAAGGCAAACATTTAGCATAGAGATTCAAAATCTTTTCTGCATTGGGCCCAGTTTACAGTCACTTTTGTATACCGTCAACAGAATCCAAACTTACTCAAACCCAGTGAGGCTCTCAAAAAACTAGAACCTTAAATTCATACTTGACAGTCTTCCCAGTGTACACATCTGATGAGCAAAATCATATGCATTCTGAAAGGTTCAATTCAACCACTAGATGACTATGGAACTTTCTCTTTTCTATGAACCCTGAGTTCTTCACCTTTTACCTGTGCAGTCCTTTTATACCCTTTACAACAATGTATGTCACATTATGATCATTTGGTTACAGCTCTTCAAACCAAATTTATGTAGTACATCCTATGAGCAAAAACAGTTCGAAGGAATATTAGGAAGACACACTCATTTTCTGTGAGAAGCAAAAGGAACAGAATCTTTCAAAACAAAGTAGGGTTGGTGGGGAGTCATTCATACAGTTGAAGGACCCTGAAGACCCAATAAAATAATGACTAAAAAGTACCCTTAGATTTAGGGAGGTGGAGGTTACTGATAACTTGAGCAATATCGGGTCTGATATAAGTTGAGGAAGAGTAAAAAGGAGAAAACAGCCATAACTGAAGAAAGAAGTAAGATTAGAAGAAAGGTTTTAGTTATTCAAAATGGAAAAGTTGAGTATATTTAAAAAATTGAAGTTCCCAGACAAGAAGGAGAAGTTGAAAAAGCTGGAGAGGAGGATGAGTTTCCTGAGTGACCTGAAGAAGTGGGATTAAGCATGGGTGTAAGGACTGGTGCTCATGAGAGATGGAGAATCTGCATGGAGATCTGAGGCAGAGGGGTCTATAATCACTCCAGACTCAAGGGCAATTTTCAGTGTGTGTGAAGTAGAGGCCAGCATAACCTCTCCAAAAGATGATGTCAAAGAACACTTTATTTATTTATTTTTTACATTCTCAGTTTAACATTAAAAGTATTTTTATTCCTACGACCAATAAGTGAAGAATTTAGAATAGACAAGAATTTTCTGGAAAATGATACTAAATATTCATATACAGAGAAGTGTGTGTACTTGTGCATGTGTGTGTATGTATGTATATATATCTATATGAAATATATAATTTTCCATAACAGAAATCTATAGAAATAGAAATGCATAATTTCCAGTAATTTACATAATTAGCTAAAACTTTAATAAGTTTCTAATAAACAGATTTAAAATTTTTGAAAACAATTTTAAAAAACTGCTTTGGTGGTTTAAAACTGCTGTGACAAGAGTGCTTAAAGAAGCAACTTTCACATTCCAAATTCCAGTTACTACTTTGATTCATCATACAATAGGAATGATAATGGTATAAATGAGAACTCTTCTTCCTAAGTATCAGTAATATCTTCTCTAAGCTGATAATTTTTCTGAAAATAAACATAGAAATTATCCTCTATGACTATGAAATAGTGCCCTTATTTTATCATTTGTATGATAAACAGTTACCCCCTAATCTATACCACTCCTTATAAATAATAATAAAATAATAAAACCAATTTCTATTCCTTACCTATGGATATAATGGCTTAACAAATGTAAAGGAAATACAGAGATGAGAGTAACACTGCTCATTTGGTGTATTCAGTCATTTGGTAACAAACACAGGGCCTAAGTTACACAACTAAAAAGTTTCAGAGCTGCTTCCAGAATACATGCTCTCTAATTCCTACCAAATTATTTGCCGTTGTTTTTAAACTACTCGATGTTTCCTCCTAACAAATAATCTATGGACCATATGATAACAAAAATATAACATAATTTTAAAATCTTCCCTTGAAAGTAGAAGATAAATTTCCATACCAGTTTGTGGACTTAACACAAACTGGAGAGGAGGATGAGTTTTGTCAATTATAATGGCAAACAAAATGTCAATTATAAGTGGCAAACAAATGAGAAATTCAGATGAGCAAAGCAACTCATCAAATGCACACAATTTTTAAATACATATAATTATCATTAATATCCCTATTATGAAACAACTTATTATCAAAAGCCAAATAACATAATAAATTCTAAGGAATATCAAAAGTTTTGCAAATTAAGGATATGGGAAAGGAAAAGATGGCTGTACTAATCTAACATTAGTTCCTTGAACACAATTATCAGTCAATATTTTGATTAGAAACTGTTGCCCTAATTGTGAACTTAAGCATGTTTTGATTTATAATTTATGTTCTGTCTATAAAGAGAAATTTTAAAACTGTTGTATACAAACAATAGGTCAGAAAAATGCTTAAGACATGTGACTTAGCATGCCTCTCCTCTGCTAAAATCCCTTTAATTCTAAGCGAGAGTCCCATCTCAGGGAGAATAATAGTCAAGACCCTATTGTGGTCTACCAGCCTCTTCATGGAGGCACATCACTGTCCCCACGTTCATCTCCCACCTGTCTGCTCCTCACTCTTTTCCAGCCTTGACTCCATTTCTTCAACACCGTAAGCTCACACCTCACATTTGCTCTCCCATTAAATCTTCCCCCCCCCCTTTATCTAAAAGGCTCCCTCTTTCATCCCATTCATCAAAGAGGCCTTCCTTAGTGTATCTGAAATAGTCTCCCTGTGTTCCTTATTTAGCTTGCATTATTTTCCTTGTTTAGTATTTATCCACATTGACATTCATATCAAAATCTTCACTTTATTCTTTCTTTCACTGGAATTGAATCCCTACAAGAGTAGAACTTTCCTTTTGTGAAAAATGAATGAATGAATAATCATCTTTTTGTCTAGGAAAATTTTTCCAGAAACGACTTTAGAAAAAAACTTTTTAAGCTCTTAATTTTTTTTTTCAAATATCAGTACAATCCAAAGCAAAACAGTAGAATCAATTATATTCTTTATGCAATTATAAATCGATGAAGGTGGCAAATCAGAGGGTGCTTGTATGTACATGCAAAATGTATACAGAACGGTTTGCATTCCATGATCCTGAGAATAATGTAGTTAGTCTGCATTACATTAAGAATCGATTTAGCTGTTACTAGAGTTTCCTATGACACTGGGTGGTAATTTAGATGTGTAGAATAAGTGGACTGAACTGAGGCTCTTTTTACCTCTTCAGACTTTAGTGATCCATGAGATGTTTGTCTCCACCTTCTTCATTTTGCTTCCACAGGAAAATCTCAAACAGCAACTATATCTAAGGGCCATATTTACATAACAGCTGAATGCCAAGCACCCTTACCACTTTTGGCTTCAGTTTATTTGGTTTTAATGTTTAGTTCAGTGATATTTATAAACTTAAAAATTTGAGATGCTTATTATCAGAAAACTCTTTATGAAAGTATCCCTCAGAAGTGGTTCTCAACTCTGTAAGAATCAGCACAAACCCACTTACAAACCTAGTTGCATGGGAAAATCATTTTGAAAACAGTTTTTTTTCAAACTTCTTACCTACTTGAAGAGTAGACTTGAGCATCTGCAGTAGTACATCAAGATATACTTGAAATTATATTTCCTTTAACTAAAGGGTAATATTCGGTCAAGGTACATGCCAACAAAATGTGTCTCATCCCTGATACTAATGCTAAAAAGTAACAAAGGCTGGGGAGCATCCATGCAGAAGAGTTTTAAGCCCACATTCTATTTAAGCGAATCATTTACATGAAGTCCAATCAGACTGAAGGACAAAGGCATTGATCTCTGTGTGAGGAAAACTGTATGACCTACAGATAGTTTCTATATAGGAGACCTGAATGTGGAGGAGCTAAGACAAACTTTGGGGAGTTACAGAAGTGGTAATGCTGGAGAATAGCAGAGAGGAAGAGATTCCCCAAGTCTTCTGTAAGTAGCCAGGCAATAGTATTGAGAGTTGAAATCACTGTTTAAGACAACAGAGAGAACCAGGAGATAAATGAAAAGTCATCATACATACTCCAGGTATCACCCGGGGCAAAGGGCAACATGGCCTCCACTCACTGAGGAGAGCTGCCATCTTCTCCCAATAACTTGCTCCTGGGAGACCCTTCAACTTCAGGGTCTGTGTATACAGAAATTGTCTCTTTTAAGTAAGCCTTATTTTTATACATGACAGTCAACATTCAGCAGGTAAAATTATTGTTAGCAAACAGATGGACTTCAAAGAGTGTCAAGAGATTTTCGAGGTGAGCCTTAGTGCAAAGAATACAGCAGGTAAAAAAAAAAAAGGAAATTTGGTTTTATAACCCAACTGCCCTCCCACTGCAATCACTCACTATGGATGGTTGATATGTTTTAAGAATTTGATTATGGGAAATTCATCAGTCTTCAATTTAAAACAGCTTATATAAGGTTTAACAGAAATCAAGATATCTATATGTATATTATTAGGTTAAATGTTTTCTCCTATTTTTAAAAGTTTATTTAAATAATTTTGCATATTTAAATCCTAAAAAGAGGATACCCAAAGGCTGGACTTATGATATAAGAGTGTGAGTCACGTTTTGCCAAATTCCAGACATCCCAAGTAAGCACATATAAGAAATACTACTTGCAAGAGATTTAAGAACTGTGGAATGTATGCCAAAATAAAAACCAACAAATAAAAATGCCAGTTTTCTGACCTGTTGAGTCTTCCAGTCCAATCTCTCCCACTCCTGGTGTCCTTGATATTATCTACTTCTTGCAATGCTAAAAAAACGAAAAAAAAAAGAAGGGAGGAATATTAAAGTCAATCCAAAATTTTCCAATGAAAAAATTAAACATCACAAAGAGAGCTGAAGAAGACTTTTACTACAAAAATTTAGGAGACATATTAATTTGAAAACAAAATGGTTTGTTTATTAGACTAGATTCATTGCCATACAGCGTTACTCATAAGACTGTGCCAGTTAATTTTTGATGAATGAATAACCAAACAACAACAAAAAAACCAAACATTCATTTACTTATTTTCTTGAATATTTTTATTTGTTCTTTTTATATATACATGACAGTAGAGTGTATTTTGATATATTATACATTCATGGAGTATATTACTTATTCTAATTAGAATCCCACTTTTGTGGTTGTAAAACCAAACATTTATTAATGACATTTCAAACTATACAGAGGGTTCAAATATAAAAATATGAGCTAGATAGTCTGAATTCACAGTAATTAAATCATTTAATTTTTTTATATTATTGAGTTATGTGCATGTCTCTGTGTATATACATGTATGCAATCATACACATATGTATGTAGCCTATGGTGATCCTGCAGTTAATTTTATTGAGATAGTTAACTACAACCATTGTCATAGTCCATGACAGTCAACTTGAAATTATTCTTAAAATACAGAATTATATGTAGCTTTGGGGAAAGCATTCTAATGAGCACTAAAATTTATTAAATTCGTATCTACTTGCATTTAGCAAAGCATGGCGTTAAGTTGTACTAGGATGCTAGGTATAAGAACAAACAGTTCAAACTCATTGGATAATTTTAGGTTGAAAACAACACTAGAAAAAAAGCAAAATAAAAACAGAAACACCATTTTTATATTCCATCATTTTTCATCACATGTAGATTTCATTGTCATGAAAATAGAATTTAGTCATTAGTCCCATAAAGAAAGCAAAGTGTTTTTGAAAATTTATCTAACCTCCTGAACGTGTATTATTTCCAATAGGAATGATAGTGCTCTAAGCTTATTGTGACTCCAAAAAATCCAAAATGTTTTCAAAATATATAACTTTTTAATATTTTATTATTTATTTGTGAATGTACAATAAATATTATCAGGCCAAGTTCATCCGTTAGTCTTCACTTTTCAAGCTTGCCCCCTAAGACTAGATCCCATGATTTCAAGAGTTTAAGCATTTATTAATGGTATTTGGAATTATCAAATAGGCTTCTCAAATTTGAACAAATAATTTATCAAATAGGCTTCTCAAATTTGAACAAATAATAATAAACATTTTTTTGCCTTAAGATGACCCTATATTATCAACCAGATTACATGTTCAGCATTTTTTTAAAGAGAGAGAGAGAGAGAGAATTTTTTAATATATATTATTTATTTTTTTTTTAGTTTTTGGCGAACACAACATCTTTGTTTGTATGTGGTGCTGAGGATCGAACCTGGGCCGCACACATGCCAGGCCAGCGCGCTACGGCTTGAGCCACATCCCCAGCCCCATGTTCAGCATTTTAAAAATAATATTAAAAAAAAACATATTTTTAGGTTATGGAATACCACTTCTTAGATACTTGTCTAGCATACTAAACTGTATACAGATTTATAGGACTCTAGGACCAGGTGACTTGTATGTCTTTTAAGTATTCTATAAGACTTTTCATTTCAAAGAGCCTCAATGGTTTTGTGATTTCTGGAGTACCTAAGTTGTTTTAAGGTACATAAAAGGGTACAAAGAATTACATCCTATAACTAAGTGGGATTATCCCAGAGATGCAATGTTGGTTTAATATGTAAATATCAAATAATACAATACCATATTAATAAAGGATACACTCATACAATCATCGCAATGGATTATGAGAAACATTTGATCAAATCCAAAAACCTTTCTTCATAAAAATGATTGACAACTTAAAAAAAAAAAAAAGATTGGCAAAAGTAGCCAGAGTAAGAAACTTCCTCAACCTATTAAAATGCATTATGAAAAACCTAATTATAATACTTAATAGGAAAAGCTGATTGCTTTCCCCCAGATCAGGAACAAGACAAGGAGGCCTGCTGGAACCACTTTTAGTCAAAACTGTTCTAGAGGTCTCAGTCAAGTCACTGGAAAGAAAAGGAAGTAAAATCAACAAAATTCTTGAAGGAAGAAACACAACCACCTCTATCTATAGACAACATTATTTTTATGTACAAATCTTTATATTCACCAAAACACTGCAAGAACTAATGACCAAGTTCAGTATGGTTCAGAGTACTTGATCAATATGCAAATAACAACTGCATTTCTATACACTAGCAATGAACATTCTGAAAATGAAGTCAAGAAAATAATTCCATCTACAATAATATGGAAAAGAATATTACACTTAGATATAAATTTAATAACAGGAACAGAAAACTTGTAAATTATAAACTAAAAACAGCACTGAAAAATGCTAAAGAATAACTTAAAAATGAAAAAGAAATCCTATATTCAAGGATCAGAAAGCTTAATAATGTTAAAATGAAAATTCCCCCCAGTTTATCTATAGACTCATCACAACCCCTTATCAAAATCCCAGCTGTGTGGGGTGTGTGTGTGTGTGTGTGTGTGTGTGTGTGTGTGTGTGTGTTGCAGAAACTAAAAAATTTATCATAAAATATTTATGAAAATGCAAGAGATCTAAAATAGCAAAAACAATCCTGAAACAGAAGAATAAAGTTAGAGGATGCATCCTTTCCAACTTTGAAATTTACAGCAAAGCTACAGTAGTCAAAACAATGTGATACTAGTATAAGGATATACATATAGATCTAATGGAATAAAATTTAGAGAACAGAAACTGACTATATATTTATGGTCAATTAAATTCTGATAAAGTTGCCAAGAAAAACCCAAGGAAAAAAAAAGAATAGTTGTGGTATGATGATAAAAAAAAAACTAAAAAACAAAAACAGGAAAAATTCATTTTTGTCCTTGGTTTCTAGAAGAAATCTTCCAAAATTCTTATAATTCCCTCATAGATTATTCTTAGTTATGCTAATTAGGCAACTCCAGGTAGGGCCCCTGGATAGCTTCAGCACCTAGATATTAAAAGACAAACAAGGAAGAAATAAACAAAACATGGGATTAGAGGACTGAGTCCAGGCTCTGTGGTACACACCTGTAATCCCATAGACTCTGGGTGGGGGTCTGAGGCAGGAGGATTGTAAATTCAAAACTTGCCTCAGCAAAATTTAGCAAGACCCTGACCAATTTATTGCAACTCTGTCTCAAAACAAAAAATAAAAGGGCTGGAGATATGTTTCTGTAGTTAAGCACCCCTGGGTTGAATCTCCTGCACCAAAAAAAAAAGAGGGCTGGAATTTTCGGTCCTCCCATCTCAAATCTTTGTAATTTATCAAATAATTATCAAGCAAACAGTCAAAGCTCAATAATGCCAATCTGTTCCAAAGAAATTCTATATAGTACAAGTAAAGATATTTTTAAGTGTAGTCTTTTTCCTTCAGGTAATGAATAAAAATGCCATATTTTCTCTACCAAGAATTCATTAATTCTGGCTATCCCAGCATCCCTGCTGCAGTGCTTATGTGTGACTATTGGAAAGTTACTTAATGTCCATCTCCTTGCCTCTTAGATGGGGAACAGAATAATTCAAAGAGTACTTACTAAAATTAAATTTGTTATTGCATGTCAAGTCCAAAACTACCAGTCATAAATGCTCAATGTGAGACCATTCTATTATTCTTAATAATTTTTTATGCTGAAGAAAGAATATATACAGGTATTCTAATTAAATTTTAGAAGGTATATGCATAAGGGAAGATAGTTTTGTACATATGTGGGCAAATCCAGGGCTTCTCCTTTTGTATCTCATAGAAGCCAGCAGAATGAGAGTCTCTGATTGGTCGGGACTGTATCTGGTGCCTTTGGGGTAGGCGAGAATGAAGCAGCATTTTTTCCAAAGGAAAAGCTGTATAGTGGAGGTGTTGTGGTTCTCTTTCTAGAAGAGTGGTAAAGAATGCTGAGACCGAACTATTGTCTCCCTACATGAACTACGTGAACAGGGATAGTCTTTGCCATAATTGAGGTATTTAAAATTAACTAAACTAAAAAGATGTTAAACAACAGAGTGATTTATGTAAACCTATAACTCTTTAATAAAAAGTCTTTAGTTTCAGCTTGTAGCCCCCTTACCTTTCATATCTGACAGACCATTAACTACTTATAAACTGTGGCCCCTCCTCCTCTCCATTTCCACAGCTCTGGCCCTGCCCCAGGTTTTTGGTCTTCTCTCACGTTTACTATCCTGACTATTGTGAGCAAGCCCTTTCTCCTTACTGAGTCTCCTCGCTCCAGGCTTGAACCCTATACAATAAGCAACTTGAGCACTTCTACATTCTTCTCTGCTTCCTCTTCCTTAAGACTCAACAAAATTCTATCTTCTCAGCAAAACCTCCTCTCTCCAAGTCATACTGAGGAATTTCCCGTTTCACATAATGTATCAATGTAGGTTAGCAAATGGATGGAAATATTCAATTATAAATTATGTTAAAATGACACACATTTTTATTGTAATATGAGATGCTGGAAAGGTGTATTGAAAAGGGACCTCTCACATATGGCTGGAGGAAGATCCAAATAGTTTAAATTTTAAAAATACATATGTTGGTCATATATACAAGCCAATGTACATATTCATATGTAATTTAATTTCTGAGATACATACAAGAAAATAATTTTAAAAATAAGAAAATCTTATAAACAACCATATTCACCTCAAAATTATTGATAATATAAAAAAGGAATAAGCTGAAAATGGCTATCAATAGGGTATTAGAGAAATAAATAATAATTTCCCTATTAATGTGTCAAGAAAAATGAGGCTTAGTAAGAAGCAGAGCACAAATTAGAACAGAGAGTCCTGTGTGTTCCCTGTCCAAAATTTCCTAAACAATAATTTTACTCTAAAACATTAGTGTTCTAAAATATTAATTTTGGCTAATAGGCAGAGAATCTGTAATT